ATCTGTTTCAGACATCTATCTCTCAGACGGTGCGAAGGGGGGGAGGGGGGGGAGCTGGTAGTCTGTCTCATCCCATGAGTTTCACGAAGGAATCGATGTAGGGCTACTGTTGGCCTTGTCGATAGTATGCCTTTTTATGAACATCGCTGCTGCTGTCCTTGAGCTTTTACAAAACTAGTTGGACTTAAGCTTCCAGCCCTTTTCACCTACCACGGGAAAATGTCCTAAAGCACACTGTATTCTGAATACCTGTCACGTACATGATCATTCGTGATGCAGAGCTGAAGTCCTTGTTTATGATCACAATAAATGAATCAGCCCGTAAGCTTGCCCGTTCTGGTGGGCGTGTGTTTCCCATGGCGACGAACATGGATACTTAATAAGCTCTTGCCTATGGTGTAAACAATCGAAGCTCAGTCAGGTTTAATCAGCGGGTTTTTTGTGTCTTTAGCAGGTCTGTGTGTCAGCACTAGTGTCAATGTGCCCTTACCAAAGTCGGTGTGAGTAGCAGTGTCAGTGTGTGAATGTCAGGGCCACAGTCAACGTCAGTGTCAGCATGTGGATGCCAGCTCTTATGTCAGTTTGTCGGCATAATATGTATGTATGTGTCAACAGTATTTGTAATACGTATCAGATTTGGCGTCTGTGTGGTGAGTACCGGTGTCAGTACGAACATCGTGCCGACGGTTCAGTTCACGAAACCTGCAGATCTATGCCACATTTTTCGAAAACCGACTTTTTTTTGCTTTCCTGTGGCCCGCAGATCTTTCCCTGTCGCGTGTCTTTTCGATGTGAGGATCGGACTGAAAATTATTATATCTGCGGATATGAATTTTTAAAAAGGCGTCTTAAGAAAAATGTGACATACGGGTTTCTTGAATTGTCGATGTGTGAGCGAAAGTCCTCGAGTCTGTAAACGTATATGAGTGCCGATTGATGTTAGTGTCGGTGTGAGTGTCAGTGCCTCTCTCGTGCCAGTGTTGGTGTCGGTATTTGAGCTATAGTGTCAGTACATGTATTAACAGCAGTTTGTCAGTGCGTTGGTGTCAATGTTGGTGTCAGTGTCACCGCCAGTGTTTATATTGTTGTATTAGGTCTATCAATGTATTATCTTTGCTGGTTTCAGGGTCAGTGTGTATTACCTGGATACCCGGAGGTGTCATCTAATCTGGCTCAGAGGCTGACATGCAAATGTAATAATAACCCCCACCCCCTCCCCCCAGTGCTCACGGTCGGGTCGCCAGCTACCGTTTAAGATTCTTTCATACTCAGGCAGGCCTGTCCACGTCTTGATGTTGTCTGTCCACTTGCTCTTTGTCCACCCCTGGCCCC